CCCCAAAACCCCAAAACCCCAAAACCCCAAAACCCCAAAACCCCAAAACCCCTCTTTGATAGGATAAGTTTGAAAGTAATTTATGAACAAGAAAGCAGTGAAGCTGCTATTCCAAAGAACTCAGTGATTGACTCATCACTCTCTTCAAATCAAGTCTGCTTGAATTCGGTGACGAGTCTCTGCCTTTTGTTTTCAAGGAAAATGTTGTTGCCTTGCTTCTTAACAAATTCTATACCTTTAGAAACTTTGTATTCATTTCCAAATCTTTCTAAGATTACTCCTTTCAGAAGAGTGGAGACTGGGTCTGGGATACATTCCTCTGGCTTTTGGAAATAAGGTGGCCCCTCTATCAACACTGGGTCTGAAATACTCTCTAGAGTCAGATCTTTTTCAAACTCCACAGGCTTTTTACTTAAAGACTTCTGGCTGTTTTCCATGATGTTATCATCATCTCTCTCTTCGTCACTGACTTCCCTATTAGTCTCGAGTCCGTCATGAAAGGATTGGTTTTCTTCAGAATCGTCATCTAGCATCTTGATGATGCTCTTCCTGTATTTATCAATCTTGAGTTTAGCTTTACTCTTTAGTACCTCCTCTTTGCTCTCTTCTTGTAAGTTATTGTTTTCCTTGGAGCTTTCTAAGGACTGGTCAGTAGGTTTCATCCAATTAAGCTTATTCTGCAGAGGCTTCTCTGCAAAATTTCCAGGCTTAGATGAGATGTCTTCGTTAGTGCCCTTCTCCTCCTCTTTGATCAGGCTGTAGATGTTGTTTACCTTTTTATTGATTTCCTCTCTCCGGTCTTTGTTCTGCCAGACTTTTCTATTTTTGTTCCTGTTCTTGTCGAGCAATCTTGGCTTTCTCTTCTTCGTAGACATTGGATCTCTTCTTTTTATGGTCACTCTTGAGAGGTTTGTAGCTCTCCCCCTGAACTACGAGACCCTTTTTGTTTGAGCTCTGAGAGTTCTTTCTCTGGCTAGGAGCTAGCTTAGCGTTGTAAGGTTTGTAGCCAGGGTAAACAGCAGATGGATCTTTCTTACGAGCACTAAGAGGGCGATGACCTACCATTCCTCCCTTTGCTGCACGAGGAGATTCCTGTACCCATTTCTTTATTTTTGGGGAAGGGGCTATTTGCTTCACTAAGAAACTTGGCTTTTCAGCATCATCTGCTTTAATAGGTTGTGGAGGAGGTGCTATTTGGGGCTTAGATATGCTTGCTGGCTTTGCTCTCTTCTTTCTCATATTAAAGAGATATTGATTATGCATAATTGTATGGGAGAATTCATTTTCAAAATCTTCATCATTCAAATAGTCTTTCGCTCTTTGCTTAACTGATCTCTTATTTTAAAATTGTGTTAATTGAGGGTCTCTTAGAAGGATCAGCACAAAGTAGAGTGTTCACAAGGTCTTGTATATCTGAGGAGTATCTACTCGGGATCGAAGGAGCTCTTTTAAATTGTGAAATCTTCATATAAAGACCATGAAGGTTCCTTGCTTTGATTGGAACCTCTAATGCACACATTTCGTAGAGAATAACTCCAAGGGACCAAATATCAGTTGCAAATGAATATGACTTTCCTCTAATAATTTCCGGGGAAATATAGTAAGGAGTTCCGACCTGTGTCTCTGCATGAGCTACTGTTTGCTCCAGTACCTTTGCTATACCAAAATCTCCAAGTTTAATTATTCCAGACTTCTCTAGGAAAATATTCTGGGCTTTCAGATCTCTATGAATAATTTTGCGGTCGTGGATATGCTTAATTGCGAGGCACATTTGTGTAAAATAGTTTAAAACTTGGTCTTCAGAAAGATACTCTCCTTGTTGTTTCTTTTTCTTAATAAGATCTGAGAGGTCGCCTCCATCAGCATACTCCATGACTATACATATTTTACCCTTCTTGGTCTTGTATACCTCTCTGAAGCCAATAATATTAATATGGTCAAGCTTTTCGAGAATTTTTCCTTCTCTCTCAATTTGGTCTTTCTCCTTCTGTGACTTGATCGCATGTATGTCAATCTGTTTGATGACTGCATAGGATCCGTCACTATCACAAGTGACGAGGAAGGCTTTGCCGAAGGACCCGGCGCCTAGCTCCCTCACCTTCTTGTACGATTCATATTGTTGCACAGACATTTTTTAAATTATATCAGAAAAGTCAATAATTTAAACTAGGGGAGGGGTTTTGGGGTTTTGGGGTTTTGGGGTTTTGGGG